CTGCTTTTGTGGAACGTGTGAGAAAGCGTGGTTTTGAGGTGATATACATGACGGAGCCCATTGATGAGTATAGTGTTCAACAACTGAAGGAGTTTGACGGGAAGACATTAGTATCGGTCACCAAGGAAGGCCTGGAATTGCCAGAAGATGAAGATGAAAAGAAAAAAATGGAAGAGAACAAATCTAAATTTGAGAATCTTTGCAAATTAATGAAGGAAATCCTGGAGAAGAAAGTTGAAAAGGTGAGATTGTCATGTTGTTGCCCTTTGTGGTTTTTGGGAACATTGATTCATTGTGGCTATTGGGAGCATACCTGTGCCCCCATCATACATTGTTGAAGTGCCATGTCTTACAATTTGGCTTATCTTTCTAGGTGACAGTTTCAAACCGGCTAGTTTCTTCCCCCTGTTGTATTGTCACCAGTACCTATGGCTGGACAGCCAACATGGAACGTATCATGAAGGCCCAGGCTTTACGAGATAACTCTACTATGGGCTACATGATGGCCAAGAAGCATCTGGAGATAAATCCTGATCACCCCATTGTAGAGACTTTGCGTCAAAAGGCTGAGGCAGACAAAAATGACAAGGCTGTCAAGGATCTAGTGGTACTTCTCTTTGAAACAGCATTACTTTCTTCGGGTTTCTCCTTGGAGGATCCACAGACCCACTCTAATCGAATCTACAGAATGATCAAGCTGGGATTAGGTGAGTTGCTAAAATCTCCTCAGGGAATTTGATACTTTTGTTATCTGAAGAGGGAAACACTTACCCAGTGACTGCTTCACAATGTTAGTATTTTGCTCTCATGTTTTCACCCCAGCTATTTGACAAAATAAATAGTAGATATTTGGCTTCAGTGGAAACATACCTTTTTGATTTGGGTAACAGTGTTCCTGGAAATCTTCCCATAAATTTGTATTAACCTTTTAATAAGAAGAAGTTTGTCCTGAGAAGGGTAAAAGAAAACTAAATGGGGTGATCCACATAACACTGCAGTCTTTCGCATTGACTGGTAAAGACATGAAGCACAGCCTGGAATCAGATACCAAACTCTGAAGCACCAAGAAAATATTTATAGCCATGATGCAAATTGGAAGTTTGAAAGATCAGAAGTGAGTGCTCTGCCTCAAGATTTGTTACACACGCACACACATTGTTGTACTTACCTACAATATGGAGAAAACTATATTCATGTTTGAATTGTAGAATAAACTCTGGTGCTAAATATGGTTCACTCACACCTTTGACATTTAAGTTATAACCATATAGATATTCATAGTGGGATTCAGAGTTTTAGTATATTTGTAAACCTTTAGCCATACTAAGGTCATAGATGTGTAGCACTATTTCTAATCTGGCACAGCCTAAAAATAATTTGGCTTTACTCAATACCTTTCTCCTAGGAATTGATGAAGAAGAAGTTGCTGTTGAAGAATCCACTTCTACTGTATCTGAAGAGATCCCTCCCCTGGAAGGAGATGAGGATGCATCGCGCATGGAGGAGGTGGATTAAAGAGCAGGAGCTGATCTTCCCTCTTTCCTGCCTCCCTCTTTCCCTGTGCCATCACCTTGCTCAGGAACCCTGGCAGTGCTGACTGCACCCTCAAAATGGTCTCTGTGTCTTTTATAAATGGTAACTAACATGGCAGGCAGCCTTCCACATGTATTTGGTCTGTCTGCTTGTTCAAACATGCTGCTTTAGGGGAAAAGGGTCAGTCTAATTGTTCAAAGGTTTTTTGCTCTCCTGTCCATGAAGATTTTGTTGTAGTTTTAGCTTGACCGCCAAACATCCATCCCACTATAGCTGAAGTAAACACCCAGAGAATGTCCTTTCCAATAATATAGCAGTGAGACTCCTGCCCCGCCCATCTCTCGCTGCTGCCTGTTGTCTTGAGAAAGCAGGGACTTGCAATCTTGTTCATGTGTTTGGTTTTGTTCTACTGGAATTAAAATAAAGAAGAATATGGTTTACAATGAAATGGGGTGTTGATTTCATTATTATGGTTAGTCGCACAGTCAGCCTGATGTTTAGACTGGCTTTGGCACTGTTACCAAGGAACTAGGAAGGGCTGTTTGATGGTGTTAAAAGGCATTGTTGCAGGATGTAAACTATTCCAAATAAAGATGGCTTTTGCAGTTGATGGTGAGTTTTGCAGATGGTGTTCCAAGTAGTGCTCCAGACGCTTTGTGATTTCACCCAAGGAATCTATTACTATTGGTACAATTTTTGCTTTCTTTTGCCACAAGCATGCTACTTCTATTTGCAGGTCTTTGTTATGATTGTCCCCAGTTCGTTCTTATCTGTTTTGCTGTCTCTAGGTCAGTGTTCACTATTACCACTCCACTGTCCGCTATCAAGACTTTTGGGTCTTTTCTTTATCAACAGTTGTTAAATCTTGGGTATTATGTGGCAGGTGTTTGTCTGCTTGAATTCTAAAACCCCACAGCACTGTAGTTTCTCCATTTTCTATTTTGTGGCCCCACCAGTTCCTCCTTGCAGGAAAATGGTATTTCTTGCAGCCATTCCAGTGCACCAATGTTGCTACTTTGGTGTGCCATTATTTATAGTCAGTTTGTGTGATTTTCTTGCAGCAGTTTGCTATTTCTTCAGCTTCTCTGTTGAGATAGTATTGTCGTCTTCTTAATTCTGACATTGCTTGCATTTGTGCATAATGCTTGGTTTTGTGAAGCCAGAATTAGCCTGTTTCTTTTTTCATCATAACTGCTTTTGGCCTGATCTTGTTAATGGCTTTGCCATGTTTCTTTTCCTATTCTTCATTTGATCTTTCTTCTAATCTAATTTGGTCTCTTTGGTATTCAGTTAGCCTTCATGAAGTACTCGTTTCAATGCATCTTCTTCACTTTTCTTCAAATTTTCTTCCAATGCACTAATTTCTTTTCCAACCATCTGGTGTACTTGCAACATTGCATGCCCAACTATTTTCCTTGGCAAGTAATCTAACATCACTGCATGGATGAAGACTGTAATTTATTGACATTATTTTTCTTGTCTTCCTACTCAGGGCTTTTAGTTCTGTTTGTATCCAGTCTTATTACTCCAGCTTTTTCCCCCCGTAATGACTGGAATTGTCCAGATTATAATTGCCTTGATAGTATTTCCTCTAATGAGTTTGGACTTTTAAGATCTCATGGTGAATTCACTTGTAGCCTTCTTGACTTCAGTATGCTTAATATTTGTCAGCTTGAAGAATGCCCAGGTACTTGTAGTGTGGTGATCTTCATCCATATTCTTGATGTTATTTTATTTCCATAGGGCATCTTGATTCTTCAGTTTTTGCTATATGTGGGTAATCTAAGACAGATAAAAACTTAAGAACTGAATAATTACTAAAATGGGGGCCTAAGAATATAGATAATTCCAAGCAGAGTGGGGTTTTTTTTGTGTAAAATTAGAATGTTCAGGTCCAATAAATTCAATACTTTCAGATATTGAGGGAGTCCTTTAGATATTACTCTAAAGGCTTCAATCACAATTGACACAACAAATTTCTTTTTCCACAAGCATTTGACGTGTAAATCATGTTAGTTCATAATATTTTCTAATTGTTTTTCCTCAATCTTTGTATCATGGGCTAATAGCAGCATCAATGAATAAGACATCCTTCTTTTCCAATGATTTATATCAGGCATGCTATAAACAAGATGGCTGTCAGTTTGGAGCTTAAAGTCCCATAAGATCTCAACCTTCTCATTTTCTAAAACTTTCATAATCGGATGTTCCCATTGGTTTTTATTACATTCAGACTCAAATCTCTGGCAATATTCCTAATGAATAATTTTGGCAGCTTGGTTGTGACATTGCTTTTAATCAGTTTGTGAAATTTTTCTGCAGCCATTGATGAAATGGTCAGTTGTTTCATCTTTTTCAATACAAAGGAGACATTTGCTGCTGTTATATGTTGAATTTTCACTTTCATGCAATTCGTTGGCAAAGCTTGCTCTTGAACCACTAGAATCTAGCCTTCAATTTCTTCTTTAACATCCTGATCTTAACCAATTCCATGTGAGGTTTTTATTGACTTTTTCTTCCAGATACTTACATAGAACTACAGCAGCTGTAGTTTGAATGTTATAGAATATGCATCTGCCCAGAAATAATATGTCAGTTCTGGACATGCAGAGCCAGTTTGCTGTAGCAGTAGGCATTAGGATAAAAAACAGGAAGACCTGGCTGATTTTGGAAACAGTCGCCCTCTTGGCAGCTCTAGGAAGGAGGCAAAGGAAAACCACTTCCAAAAACACCTTGCCAAGAAAATTGCAGGGATTTGTCCAGGCAGTCACCAGGAGTCCAAAACTGACTTGAAGCACTGCTGCCCTAATTTCCACTGTACATTGATTATTGTGGAAATAAACTAAATAGAGCTTTTAGATCCAAAGGAGAAAATAGTAAGCCAGATAGCTTCAGCTCTGCATTTCTATTTACCATTTACTAAGAGATCTGTATATCTTGCTAAACATGGAGTTTTGGTTGAAAATAGAATGGTATATATCCAGAATTGGAGTACCAACTGTTATTTCTTTTCTTTGAAGGCATTCAACCTACTTCCTTTACTCATAAAGTCCCACTGTTGGATCTTTAGACGGTTCCCTGATCCCAATATTGTAACCATTCTTTTTAGGCTTTGAGAAGAGGTGTTGCCACCGTAAGAAGTTATCAATACCTCAAAATGTTATAGACTGATCTGTTGGTCTAAGACAAAATACATGGAATAGGGGGCTATAGCCCTAATATTGTCAATTTCTATACTGTGTTGCCCATCATACATCAATAACTTCTACCCAAATGAGTGTAAGAAGATCCACGTTGTAAATAGGAATAACTGCTTATCACAACTCTTGTATGAAGTTACCTGACTAGTCCACACCACAATAAGTTTAGGCTGTGAGGAAATGTTAAAATTCCCAGCAAGGGGCTAGTTTGCTTTAACCTATGCTCAACATAATATTTAGATTACAAAACATAACCTGAGCCATTTCTTTGCTGCATATTTTAAATTTAATAAAATAAGATAGTTGTATTTCAAGAAATATTTGCCCTGCACAATTTCAGCTTGGCAGTTTAAAACTGGTAAAATTGGTAAAATCCAGACATTCTGGGTAGAACTGGCAAAAGTAACTCCAATGCTATAGTGGGGTTTCAGAGCAATTATCTTTGGACATATCCATCACTCTTGTCCTGTACAACTCAGAGCTACTATTTCTTAGTTCCAAAAATGATAAAAGACCAGGCAACTGCTTTCAGCAACAACATTCAAAATTATCCTCACCCTCAACAGTTACAACATGCTGAGCACACTATGTAAAATAAGAGTGTATATGTCAGAGCTCTGCAATGCTCAAGTTTTCAAGGGAAGCCATTTTGTTGGAAGAATCCAAGGCTGAGCCATTTGTCTTGTATTGCTGGTTCTTCATGTAAACTGAGAAATTGTAGCAACCTCTGCAAATCCATTAGGGGAGGGATGAGGCAAAAGTCAAGATGTACTGCTGTACCACCTTGTCAAGGACAATGAAACAAAATTTGAGCCTCTTCCAAAAAGTTCAACCTTTAAAAAGATAATGGATGTGCTTTTCTGAAATGCTTGCTACAATTATAAATCCCAGGAAAATGTCCCAGGGTTTGGCTCGAGGTTCAAGAAAATGAGTGAATAGCTGACGGTCAGCTAGCAAAAACCAACAGAAGCAAAAGTGGTGCACTATCAACTTTTCAGCAAAATTATGAGCACACCAAACTAGAAAACGCATAAGCAATAATTGGAAAGAGCTCACTATTCAGCAAATCAAATTCTGCAGGGCAGGAGTAAGTGGGCTGCAAATGGCCCCACCTGCCTTTATGCAACCACAACTAAATTGATCTAATTATATTAAAAAGATGAAAATCAGGTTTGTTAGTCATCTGAAAGCATTAAATGCTGATTTCGTACTTCAGCATTATTTCAAACCTTGCTGAAAAACAAAAAGGGGAGGTGAACATCTGGCATTAATGTACCAAAATATTGCCATGTCCCTATGGCTCTTACAGGCTGAAATTTATTTTTTTTAAGTGCAACCCCCTCCCTCCCTCCCCCCAATTATAAAAAAGTTTACCCGCAGTAAGAAAAGTCCCAGATTTCCTGTGGGAACTGGGCTAGGTTGGTCTTCCAATAGTGAAGTCTGGATATTTTGTTCTGATTAGAACTTTTCAAAGTTTTATTCTTGGTGTTCCCTTTCACAGGATGGGAACTGTACAAAAACAACTTCACTTTGCCCTGATCATAAATAAGCCATCTCATATAAAACCACAAGTCAGGATAAGCCTATTAGGCTCACCTCCATCTGTTCGCTGAGAAAAGGATCTTGGTACCGCTTGTTTTGAGAAAACTGTTCAGACATTAGAAGAAGCACTCCTTCATGGCCTTCAAATCAGTCCAGTATTTTTCCCCAAAGAAAATCATCTAGGGAAAAAAATAATCAGGCTTCACCTCTTTTCCAGCTCTTTACTAAGTTCATGACCAGGATTAAGCAAATGCTTTGGATTTGGTGGGGAGGACACAGGTTTTCCTGCAGCTCCTAAACCTTTTGTACTCCGCCCTCGCCCGCAGGCACTTTTTTTGCTCGCTTCTTCATGCGACTGCGGGCATAGACACGGAGGAAAAGTGCTACGAAAACCACAGCTACTCCCAGCCCGCCCATCACGGTGACTGCGTGGCCATAGATGAGGCAAGAAAGCAGGATGGCAAAGGCTTGGCGTAGAGTCATGATAATGGTGAAGACGGCTGCTCCAAATTGGCTGATGGTGTAGAAAATGAAGAGCTGTCCAAAAGCGGAACACACGGACAAAAGCACAGCATGAGCAGCAAACTCTGAATGCCGTGCCATAAAGTTTACCGATTCTATCAAGGCCCCCTGTTCCAGCAGCGAGCCCACTGTGAACAGGCAAGAAAAGACATTCACCCCAAACATCATTTGCACTGAGGACATCTTATAGGTGAAGAGGGCATCCTGCCAGTTGGAGGTGAAACTGTCAAAAGCAATGTAGCCACCGAGGAGGATCACACCAGAGAAGGTAGTGACAGTGGAGAGATGCTTGTTGTGAGTACTAGAGAGCAGAAACATGCTAACCCCTACTGAAATGAGTGCTGCTGTTAAATATTCCCAGTACTCATAGCTTTTGCGAGACACCAGTTTGCCCATCAGCATGACCGGAATCACCTTGGAGGCTTTGGCCAGCACTTGTGTGGGGAAACTGATATACTTGAGAGCTTCATATTGGCACCAGCTGCTGAGAATGTTGGAGAGGGAAGCAAAAGAATACTTGTACATGGGAGCGCCATGACGGGGCTGCTTGGTCAGAGCACAATAGAGGCCAGCCACGGTACAGGCCAGGATCCGGTTCATGAAGACAAGGAACTGCGAATCTTTGAACTTCTCTCCAGCCTCTGAGTCACTTGCTCCATAGGACCTGGTCATGACACGCTCCTGGAGGACACCCCATGTCAAATAAGAGATCTACAAAGTGACAGACAAGAAAGGAGATTAGGAAGACAACTATCAGGGAGGAAGTGACTGACACATGGTGACCATCTGACAGTCTTGAGGGGAATCTTCTAACTCCTCTATCTATCCAGAGTAATCTAAATGCTTGTAAACACTTTATCAACACAAGCTGAAAGCTAAAAGTCAAATTTGACCATATTCTCTTATCCCTTACAAGTAGGATCTAATCTACCCCCCAAAAAATTCTGATGAAATTAAATAGAGATTATGGCACCACCTATACTTGCAAAATTGCAAAAATCATGTGCTACTGGTAGTTTAACCACAAAACAATTGACGTTACTGGTCCTTCTATAACAAAAAGACAAACTGGTCCCGTAGAGAATAGATACAGGATGTACCAAAAATTAGGCTCATAGGCAAATTACCATATGCTTTATTAATTTTATTAAAAATGTTCATGAAAAAAATAACTTCTCCTCTGACGACAGGATGGCAGCTATATTATCAGTGTCTCCTGATTGGAATGGAAAGAAAAGAATTGGCAATCAGACAACTCAATTTTTTAAAAAGTTGTCAACACCCAATACCCTGCTTGTCACATATGTTTGCACATATGTAAAATGTCAAAAAGAGGCCATAAGAAATTGCAATAATTAAAGAAAACCCAGCAAACTCCTCCTAATAGAAAACTAGGGAAAACTTATTTTAAAAAATCAATAGCTTATCTATATGAGCCAAACATTTAGGCTTAAATTAAAAATGATTAGGTGAAATGTTACAGTCTATGCATGTATGTAAAAGGTGAATTCATGGAACTTTACAGATTTTAAGTTTTAATTACTGTGAATTTCTACAAGTTCTCCTAGCACCCAAGAAAAATCTGGTTAGTACATATCATGTTAATTGAATATTTTAATTGTTTGTAGAAGAAACCATAATGCCCTGGTTCACAAATAATGCTAAACGATAAACCAAGTTTACAAAGAACAATAGCTGGGATTCTCTTATTACATTAAGCCAAAACTAAAGAAATCACCATAAACTCAGTTATCTCAATTACAGATGAAAATTAACTGGTAGAATATTTGGATTCTATGTAATCTACTGTATATATTTAACTATGAACTAACCACATTGTCAAATTCCATTACCAAATGTGGAAATTGGCAGTGCTACAATTTACAGGTGGTAAATCTCATTTTATACATTTACACATTTATTTCATGCAACATATATCAGCCTCATAAATTATTTTCCTTTGTTAAAAAAAAATAGAATTAGATTAGGGATTAGAAATTTAGTTGCTAAGCAAATTAGTCGAACAAGATGTGACCACTTTGTTTAGCAACCCCAACCCCAACATTTCTGCCTACCATTGATAACAGAGAATCATGGGGTCATTAAGCAAGAGTCCCAGGAAAGGAGCACAGGATGCCTTGGGATGGACATGGCCTTATCCAGGTCATGCATGAGTTGGTGTAGTGCAAACCACAGCCTCCCCTGGAACCCTCAGCCATCCTCTCTCCTCCTTTCATTTTGCACAAACTGCAGCCTTTTTGCAAGTACATGTTTTGTTGTTCACACACCACCTTCGTTGCTCACTTTCACTGTATCCTTCTTCACTCCCATACACACCATGGCCTTTTCCCCTTTGCTCACTCACACTGTGCCTTCTTGGCTCACACTCTCTGCACTTTCCAGGGGCACTTCTGGGAACAGGTCATAGGACCATTCAGCACCACTGTAACTTCAAACAGTTGCTGAATAAATGGTTGTAAGTAAAGAACTGCCTGCACTTCCCTGGCAGTCTCAAAATTGGGTGACCCAAAACTGAGCGATCTATCTGTTCTTTACCTGCAAGCCAGTTGCACAGAATAGCAGCTTAAAAATCTGACGGGCTGTAGATGACTCTACAGTCTCATTTCGAGCTGCCAAAATGCCATCATCCTGATGCACTGATTTGGCTTCATTGCCAAAAACACAGGATTTGATTACTGGAAAACAAATTCCACGGCCTAAGAAAGAAAAAGGAAAAAAGAATATTATCTACAGCAATCAATTATCTCAATAGTTCAAGGTAAAGATTTCCCCTTTCCAGTCCTGTCCAATTCTAGAGAGAGGCGATGCTCATCTCCATTTCTTAGCTGAGAGAGACAGCATTGTCTAAAGACATTTCCATGGGCACACTCTTACTTTAACTACCAAAATGGTACCTATTTATCTACTTGCATTTACATGCTTTCGAACTGCTAGGTAGGCAAGAGGTGGGGCAAGTAATGAGAGCTCACCCCATTGCATAGTGCTCAGAACTCGAACCCTGGCTGTCAGCTTTACAACTGGCAAGCTCAGCATCTTTCACCGCTGAGCCATTGTGCCCCCTGTTCATTAATGCTAATTACAAGCTTATACTTCCAATATTATCCCTGTTAATCCAGTTTTATTTTCATTTTCTCACTTTGTTCCTGCTAAGATATATTTTCTGTATTTCTGGCCATATGGAAAGGCAGATTCACATTCCACGTCTCTTATTCACAACGTTGTTCTCACAGTTTGCTAAGCTAATGAAAGACAGGCCCAGAGGATACATTTTATTACAGATATAATTGAAGAACACATGAGTGTTTTTTGGTGGAGAACAACACAGCTAAGTGATTAAAGAAAAGCACTTCAGCAGTAGAATTAACAAGTTTTATTTTTATAAACATATTTTCATTCAAATACAGAAAATTCAAACATGTCACAGAATAGGAATAGAACATATTAAAACCATTGAAAAAGTATTAAAAGATACAACTAAAATTACTGGACAATAAAATTTTCATTGGGCACTAAAAACACAGTATACATTTGGGTGGGACTTCCTTGCACAGGAATTTAAATGTGTAGGGGCCATCTTAACAGAACTGGGGAAAAACAACACTAGGCAACCAAAGCCATCTGGCTAAATTTTGCCCATTTTGGCAATCTACCATTCACATTTTGCACTACCAATCCAATGGGGAGGCTATAGAATACTGCCAACACATCAATTCGTATCCAGAAACAGTACAATATGCGAACCAGCTGGAGGCAGTAAAAGGTACTTTTATAATATCTACCATGGTCATCTAGGACAGGGGTCCCCAACCACCGGTCCGCGGACCGGTACCGGTCCGTGGAACAAATCCTACCGGGCCGCTGGTTTGCTGGGCGCCGCCATCTTGTTTTGATGAAAAAGTGCTTCCGGTGAGCTTTTCCAGGTAGAAAGCCATTTCTACCCGGAAAAGCTCACTGGAAGCGCTGGGCGCCACCATCTTGTTTTGATGAAAAAGTGCTTCCGGTGTGCTCACCGGAAGCACTTTTTCATCAAAACAAGATGGCGGCGCCCAGCTGATGCCGGTACCGGGCCGCGGCGCCCAGCTGATGCCTGTACCGGGCCGCGGCATAAAAAAGGTTGGGGACCACTGATCTAGGACAATGCAGGCTCAAAGGAAACTGGCAAGAGATAGGCTTGATCTCTGAAAGGACTGAGGACACTTATGCCTCCTGGGCATGGAAACACTTCTGTCTTCCTGAAAGTCAGTTTCAGTTTACTGACCTTATCTTCCCCACTAACAATCCCAAATGCCAGTTCAGTACCTGGACAATATGATACAATTAGCTGACAAAAAGTTAAAAGGAGACGCGTTCTATAGGTACTTACCTGTTTCAAGGTAATTCTTCCTCTTAAAATACTGTATGAGCAAGAAACCTGGCACAAGAATGCTTGCATAGCCTGCAGCATTGACCAAAAATGGTAACAGCCAAAAATCTCCCCAGGAGTCCTGGTGAACAAGGGGTGCACCTTCATCTGCAGCCACCGCATGTAGAGCAGTTAGCACAAGAGACAGGCAGAACCTGCTAAGAAGAAAAAATTAGCAATAAGACAAAGAAAAATCCACATATCTCCCTAAGCACATGCAAAGACCTCCTTCGTCCGAACCCTTATCCCTGCTCCTCTTTTACTAGGCAAAACCAGGAAAGCAATTACAGGTGATCCTCAACTTACAACAGTTCATTTAGTGGCTGTTCAAAGTGGACAATGATACTTGGGGGGGGGGAGTGACTTAAGACCATTTTTCACACTTATGACCGTTGTAGCATCGTCATAGTCATGTGATCAAAATTCAGGCACTTGGCAACTGGCTCATATTTAGGACAGTTGTAGTACCCCGGAGTCACCTTTTGCGACCTTCTGACAAGCAAAGTCATTTGGGAAACCAGATGCACTTAATAACCATCTTACTAAATTAAGAACGGCAGTGATTCACTTAGCAACTGTGACAGAACAAGTTGTAAAATGGGGCAAAACTGACTTAACAAACGCCTCGCTTGGCAACAGAAATTTTGGGTTCAATTGTGATTGCAAGTGGAGGACTACCTGTAGGGCATTTTTTTCAATGGATTTTCAAAATAAGTATTCCAGCCACACACGTCTGCGATGTTTGCACATTAAACAAAGCATATTGGAACAAGCAGAACATCCGGGAAGTAAGAAGACCTTCCTACAAAGCAAACATTAGTAGCAATAGAGAATCACAATAAAAAAAATACAATCCTCACAATAAAAGTCACAATTTCTAGGCAGGTCAATGAAGGCCGGGGGGGGCGGGGGGAGTATTAAGAACTACCTCTCAAGGACACTGGCAAATAGGAGAGGTTCTTTCATGCAACAACTGTATAGATCCCCCTAAACCCATACCATCTCTCACCCATTGAGCATATTGATCTGGACTTCTGGGATTTATGACTCAGCAGCTTGTGCATAAGTGCTGGAAGAAATCATAATGGCATATTTTCAGAGGTCAGAATGAAATTAAGATATGTGCAGCAGGGGAGTAACTTCTTTCTGTTGTGCAACTGCATAATTGACCAGCCAAAAGAAATATGACAGTACTGAATAGAACATGTTTGGATGAGAATTTTACAGCAAAGTTAAGGTTAATGATTGGTAAAATGCTGGAAATGGCAGTCTTAATTGAGTCTCCTCCTGAACTCTATACATCCCCTCCCCACCCCATGCAATAGAGGAAGTAATGCCCAGAGTTGTAGATTGCCTACCCTTCTGTTTTCAGGAATATAAATGTTCAGAATAAACAATCATCCAGAAGCAATTTCTCACAATGAAGCAGCTTATTTCTGAGTATGCACAGAATTTCTGTCTAATTCATAGTTACTCCACTACAGTACCAAAGAATGAAAGAGCTTTCAAAGCAGGCTATGCCCCGTAATGAAAACCCAGCTCTTCAACTGTTCCAATAGCACTTCCCTTTCCTTCCCATTAACCGACGCGGGCAGAAAGTATTTCATTACAAGACTTTTTGCAAAAAAGGAGACAACAGAAACATGGTTTTGAGAAAGTCTCACCAGGAATGTATAGCCCATTTCACTGTGAAGTTAATTTCAACACCTCTTGCATTATTTAATTTTTCTGTACCAAACATGTCCAAGACTGCAAAGGTAGCTGTTAGAAAAATGGTGAAATGCTCAAATTTCTGTTCTTTTTGTGTTAAATATATTCTTTTAAAACCCTGGAAATCTAACATGGGGGTGGGGGGCCTTGGAAAGCACTGGAAATGGTCCCTCCTAACAGTGAGAGCAGAGACCCCTGGACCCTACAGAGAGGAGGAACCAGAGAGAGGAAGGCTCTGACTGAATGGAGAAGGAGGGAAGTAATTGAAATGACTGGAGCAAAGCAAGTGGCCATGCCAAAATATGTTCCCAAGAAGAAGAAAATAACAGAGTGGTCAGAGATTTTCAGAGGTCTGCTATACAGAAATATTATTAATAATTAAACAACAATTGGCAGAATTTGTTCTTTTTGCCACAGAGCAATTGATTGCATGGTATCTGTGTTTGCGGCTCTGTGAAATTCCAATAATTCATCACAATATTTCTTGCCTTTTGTGATACATTGCACAAGACTTGAGCCTAATATTAAGAATGTATTAAAATTATTCTTGCTTGGATCAATGTCTACTTGACAGAGTACTGGGCCTGGTATGATTTAAATCTCCTATTTGACACTGAATTTAAATAGGTGGTCTTGGATCTGTAACACTGTATTGAATGTACAATTTTAAGATACTGCATATTCGACACTGTAAATTGAAAGAATATAATATAAACACACCAAAACTGCGGTGCATCAGACAAAAACAATATGCTCCAGTACTGGCCAGCCACCTATTTATGGGAAGCTCAAAAGCACAACATAGCATCCCTCCACTCAGACTATCCAAAAAACAACATGAACACTTATTCGTAGCTGATATTGGAAGCCATATAGAAACATTAGAACTAGCAGTAATTGATGGCTTTGCTTTCCATGCATTTAAAATTAAAATTAAAATTCCATGCCATTAACATTATTGGCTGTTACTATGGCAGCAAACTTCACAGTCTGATGTGCAGACAGAAGTTAGGGTTAGGTTTCATTCACCACCCTAGAATACCATGAGCTCCGTATCTGGACTGGGAAGGAACAGACTCATTTATGAGTAACCATGAACAGACCCTATCAATCCAGGAATGGGCACAACTGGTGCACAAAACTACCCAACCCAGGGTTTCTCCTTCTTTAAAAATCCTAGATGCAATAGGACTTTCACATTCAAATCTGGCATACAATCTGGGGCTTTTCCTGGAATTTCTCTTCCAGCTTTCTGCAACAGAGCAGCTAGTGTTACAGGTATGGTAAGCTCTTACTTCTGCCTAGCTGGCAACATCAGCTTCAGCACTAGTCATGAAAGAACCTTTCAAAATTTCTAGCCCACAAACTGAACAGGAAACTTGAGCTCCTACATTCATGTACTGTTTCCCATCTAATTGGATATGCATACTTTTCATGCCCCAATAGTTGAGGGCAAGGGATATTTGTAACAAAACTGGCAGTTCTTTCCATTTTAACCCTTCAGGCAACTATTGAAAATGTTAAAATTAAAAATGTTAAAATCTGATTTGATCAAACTGAAAGCTATTTAGTTCGACATTATTCTCTTAAGCAGATATGCTTCTGGGACACTCACAAAAAGGACCTGAACATCATGCTATTTCTGAGAGTGGGAAAATTTGGCAAATAAAAATTTGGGTGCCTAATGTTGGCAAATAAATAAATAAAATATTTTTCTCTCATTCTCCAGAAAAGCTATTTAGAATTCAGAGCCAGGATATAATACCCAACTCTCCTCATTACTAGTAGAAGCCATCAATCTGCCTGGTTCCCATTATTAAAATCATACAAGTGCACAGATTTCACTAACTGAAAGCAAATTCTATAGTCTAACTGGTTCTATGTGAAATAGATTATAATTATTGCTCTCTAGATTTATTAATGCAAAGTATGAATATAGGAACTTGTGTTTCTTTAAAGTGTTTCCAATCAAGCTTAAAGAATTAATTATTTACTTCATCATGAACCCAGATAATTCATTGACTCTGAATTAAAGAAATCTGTTGTGTAATTTTTATTTGACTTCCAAGACCAATTCCAAAATATAGCTCAAATTTGATTTGAGATTCCTAGTTGAATTAAATCAGTCTCTACTGGTGAGATATTATAATACAGCACAAAATTTCATAAGCTCCAAATGTAATTCTCATTGCTCCAATAAAAAGCTAACAATAATGGATACAGTTGCTTATTTAGTAAGCTTATTTTTATAGTATAGTGAGACCTGGTTATCACAGGAAGCAATCATTACTTGTTGTCACAAATTACTAGTTAATCATTGCAAGCTGAAATCACCAGCAAAGAATGATTTAAAAACCAAAGAAATTTTAAAATAAAAACCCATGAAAAACGGGACCTTCCTATGATTGGTATTTGCAACAGATGGGCATCCTTCAGTGTGAATGCTAAGTTTTCTGCCCAAAAAATCACCAGTTTTATAGAGAGAAAACTCATAACATAAAAAGCCAAAGTTGACAGATTATGAACAAAAGTACATGTAAATATATACACAAGTGGATTTAATGTGACAATGGCTCAATAGTTTATTAGGCAATATTCCTTTTTCATTATTTCTTATAACTCTAGAGAAATCCAGAATTTATAATGCACTATTTATGGAATAAAGTAAATGGTGTCTGAGCCAATAAAAAGGATACTGAGAACAAGAGCAAAAATGAATAGTTCTATAAATTTACATATACAGGTATAACACCAATGCAAAGCCTAGCAATATTAAGCAAAATTATTCTTCAGAAAGTTTTCTTTCTTTAATGTTCCACAATGAAAATAATTTCCAAAACTCACTAACAAAAGTTTGTTCTGAGTGTGTAAGGAGTATTTTGAACATTAGTACAGTATATGTAGTATGGAGATCATGAAATATTAATGGGTAGCATGAGAATGTATGACAGGAGGAATTATGCTGAAGATTCAGATTACAGGGAAGGATAACATTTGGAAGGTTAACATGATTGATTCAGGGTATCAAGTATTTTAAATACTACCTACTAAAACTAGCACTATTCATGTCAAACTAAACTGTGATATTAATAAACCAGGCCAATTAACGGTGCTTAATTTATGTGTGTGTGCATGTGTTGTCTGTAAAATGAGAGCCTGTGTAGTACAGTGGTTAAGTTGCTAGACTGGGAACAGTAAAACACAGATTCTAGTCCTAACTTAACCATGCAAGCTGGCTGGATGAGTTTGTGCTGTTTTAATATTCAACTGGGAAGCTGAGAAACACCTATCTTCTAAACTACACTGAATCAGCATGGTAGATTATGGTCCATAAGATCCAGTGAAGATGGCTTCATCTTTATATTCATGACATTGAAATTTGTTTTTTACTTTCATTCAATATAAGTTATCAAATAAAAGGGTAGAGGTAGCAAATCTTCTCAGTGTTGGCACTGTTTTTAATCTAATATGTACCATAAAGAGGTCCATCCTCTCCCTTCTCTATGGATAAAAACAGACTTTTTCTATACAACAGTGTAATTCTGTAACCATTTCATCCCAGCAGCGGAGATGAGAGGGGAAAGTGAAAAGGAAACAGAAATGGGTATTCCAAAACTGGTTAAATAATGCTTGTTGCCAACAGAAGTTCCTCATTCCCCATCCAGAGGAGAGAGAAAAAAGAGACAGGAAGTGGTAAGGGTTGTAACTGCCTCCCAACTCTCTTTGTCTTTGGCTGGAAGGACTAAAAGTTTGGCTGCCAGTCAATGAAATCCACTGTTGCACACAGTGTTGAAATCACTGTTGAAATCCACTGTTGTATGATACCAATCAAAAGTGACTGGATTCACTGGAGGACAGGATCACTAGCTTAGCCGTAATATGTAAATAAGGGCTGTGCAATCCAATCAACTATAGTTCTTGATGGGATAAACCTGGATTCAAATCACTTTATAAACTAAGGGCCCCAGGAAAAGGTGTTCTTCCTCTAATAAACAGAGGACAGAATGAAAATCTAACAATGAGGCCTCAGTGAATAAATTTGTTAGTAATCACGCACAAAATTATACAGGCATAGTGAATACACTTTAATCACATTTTTGCACACCCAAATCAGCAGGACATTTTCTTTCCAGCAGAGCTGAAATTTTCAGCTATGTGACAAATGGGTAATGGATAAATTATCTAGATTTAAAACTCTTGTTCCACAAGCTGTATTTGCAATTACTTAATGTGGATCCATTTCTCATTTACCACTTGTGCTTTTAATAGAAGGTTTTAGGAACAATATCATCCTTAAGGTGCTTTTTCAAGAAAAACTTTGTTTTTCTTTGAAGATGTTTCACTCCTCATTCAAGAAGCTTCTTCAGCTCTGAAAGGAACCTTTCCATTCCCCACCATCCAGTCATAACGGAAGAACTTGGATGAGAAGCGAAATGTCTTCAAAGAAAAACAAGCTCAGTTGCCTCTTGAAAAAGCACCTCTGGGACAACCATGACCTGGATGACTGATAATCTCCATAGACTTAGGAACAGTATGTAATTTGCAATTACATGAAACATTAATTCTCCTGGAATTAAGGAGAAACTTCCTAACAGTGAAGACAATTAACCATAACTTGCCTTCAGAAGTTATGGGTTGTTCATCACTGGAGGCTTTTAAAAAGAGACTGGATAGTCACTTGTCTGAAATGGTATAGTATCTCCTGTTTGAGCAGGGGGCTGGACTAGAAGACCTCCAGAGCTCCCTTCCAGCTCTATTCTATCCTATGAAAATGCAGCATGGGTCCTTTCAAATCAATCCAGTTTAACAGTACAATTATCTACCCAGCTCTTCCTCAGACGACACCGAAAGGCCAACCTTAGGCAAATGCTGCTCTGTAGTCTCCATGCACTCCCACTGAGTGTTAATTCCATCCCGTTTCCAGCCTGAAAAAGTGAATCCGCCAGCCCTGGCTATCTATCACCCGATGCCGCCGAAACGAGGGAAGGAAAAAAGGCAACCCAAAATGCCCGGTTTCGATGGAAATGTCTCCACACCACCCACACATAACCAGAACTGCCCTCCGCCTTTTTATGCCCCGGTTTCCCAGTTGACCGGATCCCCGTCAGATTCGCCCAGGATTGGGGAGGAATTCCCTCAGCATCCCGCGTTTTGCCGAGGCCTCGGGAAACCACCCCGCCGTAGGTTTTTTTTTAAAAAAAAGCCGCCTAGTTTTGCTCCCCGAAGGCACCTCCGCCCCCCTTTATCCCCACCCAGCACCGGCTTCTTTGCTCGGCCGGATCCGAGGCTTCCAGATGTCGGCGTGGGTTGGCGCCTCCCCGCGCGCCGCCGGGCACAGCAACTTCCATCCCCCGCCGAGGCCTTCTTCCTCCCCCGCCCGCCCGCCAAAGCAGCCCACCTGCAGCCCATGATTGCCGGCGGGGCCGGGTGCGCGATGCTCCCAGGCAGCGCTTGGGTCCGCGCCTTCGTCCCAGACGCCACAGGCCGCAAGAACCGGCGCTTCGGCCGGCCGCTCGCGCCTCACGAGGGGCGCCCCACAGCGTCACCTGCCGGTCCGGAGGCCGAAGGACGGTTCCGAAGGGAAGAGCCCCGCAAGCGGATAGAAAGGCGGGGGCAGGACTGGGACGGAAAGTGAACGAGGCTCCCTACGAGGAGGAGGGGAGCGTTTCATAGGCCGCTCCGGTACGATTCGGGGAGGGTTTCCAATCAAGGTTGGATCCGGAGCCCTCTCGTAGCAAGAAGCAAGCTCTGCTTTGTTCCAAGGATGCCCACAAACGGTGGCAAGACGGCGGGCGAACCCAGCCCTTGAGCTGGAAAACAACGTCGCCCGCCCAGGTTTGAAAAGCCGACTCACTTCGCCAGAGGTTCAATCTTTTCAACCTACCTCTCTATACCTTCTAAATTCGTTTTGTTTTATATTTAGCATTTATGGTACCCGTGAATGTAAAGGCACTATTATTTGAGCTTCACTCGTGGGTTTTTTTCCCCCAGAGGAAATTGAAAGGCTATTGCTGTACAATACGATTCTCCGATTCTGCTTAGCCTGACTGTTGCTGGTTTTGTTCAGTACCTCCAGACTCTCTGCCATAAGCATCCATTTCACCAGGACTGTAGGTGAATAATTGTATTTCTCCTGTAAACGCATGCTTGCGTCTTCAATGAGAATATCTGATTACTGTATTTTGTCTTCTGTCTCCCTTTTCTTTAAAAATTGCCTTTGATTTTCCAGGCATCAGGCATAGCCATCCTTTCCAAACTACAAGGAGGCCAAAATGACAGAACATAAATTAGGACATCACACTCTTTCCTACTTGCATGGCAACGCCACAGGGGGCCATGTAAAGGGCAGAGATGTATATCACATTTAATTATTTGCCCTCTCTTCTCACTGCAAATACCTATGGCTTCAGGTCTTCTTCACTTACTCCTGGCTTCTCATTATGTGTCCAAAATAAAGCTTCATTTTTAGGATACTTCCAGTGAGCAGGCTGTTTTTACTTCATGTTGCACTGAATAATTTGTTCCATGCTATTTGTTCTCAAAACTTTTTCCAGCTCCACAGTTTGTCTTTCTGAAGCCTTTCTGATGATCTAGCTTTCACACCCATAGTTACAATTGAGAAAAGCACAGCCTTGACAATATGTATCTTTCTTGTCAGTGTAATTTTAAGATTTGATCTAGACTTGTTACAGTTTTGTTTTCCCCCCAAGTAACAAATGTCTCTTTATTTCAACGACTGCAAAGTCCAGGAAGATAAGATGTATTAACTTCCTCAACTTGTTCTTTAGCTTTCTGGGCTGATTTGGCATTGCCTGTGGACATAGTTTTTTCTAATACTGAGCAGCAATAATCCTTTAAACTCTCTTCTTTCACCTTTAATGACTTCCTCGTTTCCAGTTACCAGGTGTTAGGATCTAACATCTAACAAGGGCTGCTGTTGGAACATAGGGGAATTTAATATTTTCATTCCCACACTAAAAGTATTATTTAAGAGTGTAAGGCCTTGTTAGACAAATTACTGGTTGTGAATTCTCTTTCAGTTGAGTAAGCCAGATGACCAAGTTATGTTGGTCTGTTCAGGGGCAGCAGTTACTAGCTTGCTTATAGGCTTCTAACCCGACTGGCCTTAGTTAAGCCAGAATACAGAAGGCAGTGGTCCTGTCACAGGTCAGATTGTAGCAGGAGTGGGCAGTACCCGAACAGTTGGGAGTCACAACTCAGCCCTTGGTGTATTGTGGCCTCCGGAAGATTCGGGTGATGACCAAGAGCAGTACAAATAAATATAGCTGAAATATTTCATCATGATTTATGAACGTTATGGATGGGAATGAGAGAGGGAAACCTTTAAGAGATAAACTGCCATTGTTCCCATCATTACTTCCCCTTAATTCTAAAAAGAGTCCAAAATTGCACGATCAACATTCATCCATTTTGATGGTCCAATCTTGTCTGCTTGGCAGGCTACCAATGGGCAGCTGTTGGGTTATATAAGATCCATGGGGGGAGGCTCCCCCTCCTGTGAGGCAGAAGATTTTTCTTTTTATTCTGATCTTTCTTCTACACTATCTTCCCATCTGACTGAACAGTATTAGATACAGAAGCCGTGTGACTTGAATGTGTACCATGAACAAAAAGTATCACAGGAAAGACAGAAAATAAACCAAGTGTTAAATCAAAACCACGAGAATAAAAGCATTACTGAAGGTTTTCTTTTTCCCAGATTAAAAAACTATTCTGACAATATTTCATGATAAATGCAATGGATGCTTTTAACTATACACTTTAGGTAATTTTTGCACTATTTAATTTTATATTTAAGTATAAGAACATTTGCTACCTAAATCGATCCATCTTCAGATCACTGCCTAAGCTAATCAATTGTTGAAATTGATCAAAACTTTCTGTATCTTATAAATGGCATATAATACTTGCCCCCAGCTTTTTGGGCACCAGAGACCAGTTTCATGGAGAATGAACAGATTGGAGGGGGCTTGGTTTCGCATGCTGCCTGCATCCCACGGATGGGGCTTCACTTGTTTGCATGGCCAGGTTTCTGGCATGCTGCAGACCAGTGCCAGTACATGGACTGGGGGGTTGGGGACCCCTGGCAAATACTACCTAATAATGTAAATTAAACCATACAGGAAGAATTCATTGTAGGAAAGCTGGTTTCTAGCATCTATCAGCCTTCCCTGACTGCCATTATATGCATAATTAAATTTACACTGCATTATAATGGCCTAAGTCAGAACGAAACATGTGTGGGAACTCAGATCTTTACTTTGGTTGATTTCCCCAGCAGACACCTGCAGAAGAGCTATTGGGATTCATGGAAGAACATACACTGCTCAAAAAAATAAAGGGAACACAAAAATAAGACATCCTAGATCTGAATGAATGAAGTATTCTTATTAAATACTTTGTTCATTACATAGTTGAATGTGCTGACAACAAAATCACACAAAAATTATCAATGGAAATCAAATTTAGCAACCCATGGAGGTCTGGATTTGGAGTTACACTCAAAATTAAAGTGGAAAAAAAACACTAGACTGATCCAACTTTGATGTAATGCCCTTAAAACAAGTCAAAATGAGGCTCAGTAGTGTGTATGACCTCCACGTACCTGTATGACTTCCCTACAACGCCTGGGCATGCTCCTGATGAGGTGGCGGATGGTCTCCTGAGGGATCTCCTCCCACACCTGGACTAAAGCATCCCCCAACTCCTGGACAGTCTGTGGTGCAATGTGGCATTGGTGGATGGAGCGAGACTTGATGTCCCAGATGTGCTCAATTGGACTCAGGTCTGGGGAACGGGCGGGCCAGTCCATAGCATCAATGACTTCATCTTGCAGGAACTGCTGACACACTCCAGCCACATGAGGTCTAGCATTGTCATGAATTAGGAGGAACCCAGGGCCAACTGCACCAGCATATGGTCTCACAAGGGGTCTGAGGATCTCATCTCGGTACCTAATGGCAGTCAGGCTACCTCTGGCGAGCACATGGAGGGCTGTGCGTTCCCCTAAAGAAATGCCACCCCACACCATTACTGACTGACTGCCAAACCGGTCATGCTGGAGGATGTTGCAGGCAGCAGAATGTTCTCCACAGTGTCTTCAGACCCTGTCACATCTGTTACATGTGCTCTGTGTGAACTGCTTTCATCTGTGAAGAGCACAGGGCGCCAGTGGCGAATTTGCCAATCTTGGTGTTCTCTGGCAAATGCCAAACGTCCTGCTGTAAGCACAACCCCCACCTGTGGACGTTGGGCCCTCATACCACTGTCATGGAGTCTGTTTCTGACCGTTTGAGCAGCCACATGCACATTTGTGGCCCACTGGAGGTCATTTTGCAGGGCTCTGACAGTGCTCCTCCTGTCCCTCCTTGCACAAAGGCGGAGGTAGCAGTCCTGATCCTGGGTTGTTGCCCTCCTACGGCCTCCTCCACGTCTCCTGATGTACTGGCCTATCTCCTGGTAGCGCCTCCATGCTCTGGACACTACACTGACAGACACAGCAAACCTTCTTACCACAGCTCGCATTGATGTGCCATCCTGGATGAGCTGCACTACCTGAGCCACTTGTGTGGGTTGTAGACTCCGTCTCATGCTACCACTAGAGTGAAAGCACCGCCAGCATTCAAAAGTGACCAAACCATCAGCCAGAAAGCATAGGAACTGAGAAGTGGTCTGTGGTCACCACCTGCAGAACCACTCCTTTATTGGGGATGTCTTGCTAACTGCCTATGCTTTCCACCTGTTGTCTATTCTATTTGCACAACAGCATGTGAAATTGATTGTCAATCAGTGTTGCTACCTAAGTGGACAGTTTGATTTCACAGAAGTGTGATTGACTTGGAGTTACATTGTGTTGTTTAAGTGTTCCCTTTATTTTTTTGAGCATTGTATTTTATTGTGGCTATGGCTTGACAAAAGAACTTTTCTGTTCTGACTGTTAAAGGGTGATGTGTGCCTCCTCTTCCAGAAAATGATGTCTGTAGGCATGTGAAAATGTGTGGGCTGTTTCTGATATAAGACATGGGCAATCTCTTGGGAGTCACAATGGAATCTAAATGTTTGCAGTGACATTCTACTAGTAGGTTTATGTGGAGGCTGAAAGAATTTCCCAAAATGAGTAGGTTATTATATATTCCACCTCCAGTTTGGTGCACAGGATGAAAGGTCACAGTCACCCAGAGTCAGATTTACACCAAAGATGTTCAAATGTAGTAGAGAGATTAACGTCTTTACCAAGTTAGTAAGATTTTTGAAACCTTGTTTTACTTTGGGATCTCTTATTATCATTAATTGGATACTGCTAACATGTATTGTGGGTCATATCTTTCTAACAAATGTAAAACAACAAAAAATGCAGTGTAAAAGTGATTTATATGCCTAATAGGGCTGTGCAAAATATAGAGAAAATGTCCTGCAAAATGCATTGTTGTGAGTGAAGCATCCTACAAGGATCATGTAGTCCAA